CACAAAAAAAATTATTGCGCTAGCTCTTTTCCTTCTCGTTATATTAGATTTTAAACAAAACAAATGTGATTTAGCCCATAGTGCGACGTAGGTAGCTTTTTGCCTAGATTAGCATATAGAATCCTTTTTTTTCAGGTAAATAGACCAGGGACCGATCTATTAAAAAAAATCGTGTGTATGTGTTTATGGTCCGATTTGTTTGAAATTTGGCACGTAGGTTGCTTATTGCCTGGATTAACATATATGATACTTTTTCTGATAAATGGACCAGGGACCTATCTATTCGAAAAATATTATTTATGGTCTGATTTGCTTGAAATTCGGTAGACGTTTTGTAGGTATACATAGAATAGAATTGAATGATTGTTTTACAGTTCGAAAGGTAATTTAAGGCGCCGCAAAGCATGCGGGTATTGGCATTTATCAATACTTATTATCTTTACTTATTATCAGCGAACGGATTGTTAGGACCTAAAAACTTATACAAAAGGCAAAATAAAATAACGAAATAGGCTAGAAAAGGCAAAATAAAATAGCAAACTAGGCAGGAAAAAGCACTAGAAATCGCAAAAAAAGCAAAAGAAGGCACTATAAAAGAGAAAAATTATGTAAAAAAAAATATATTTTAAAAACAAGCTTGTATTTAACCTGTACAATCAAAGGAATAAAATGAAGTAGTGTAACAAAAGATTTTTTAGCAAGAAAATTTTGTCAAAACTGCACTAAGATGAATAAAATAAAATAAGTTAAGGTCTTGTTAAAGTTACTAAAAGCCATTTAGTGAAAGGAGTTATTCAAACTCTAATGAAAATTACTAACAATTTGTACTAATTTACTTCGTTTTTAAAAAAGCTTGTCGCGCGAATAGCAAACTGGCATTTAAACATCTGCATTCATACATATACATAAATACCTAACCAATTATGCATGTACGCTGAATTCGCCGACAAGCTTTTTTAAAAACGAAGTAAATTAGTATCTACAAATTGTTAGTAATTTTCATTAGAGTTTGAATAATTCCTTTCACTAAATGGCTTTTAGTAACTTTAACGAGACCTTAACTTATTTTATTTTATTC